GACTAGTTTCTCTGCATCGTTTTGAGGCAAGATATGCCTGATTTTTGCAATGTTACGTAAATGAAAAAAGGCAGTCCTTGAGATTGATTTTATGTTGGCGTTAAAGGATAAATCCTGATCAAATATAACACCAAGATTCCTTACAGTCTCACTGGAGGCCAAATTAATGCCATCCATAGTTAATATATCTTTAGATAGTTTGTTTCGTAGAGTCTTTGGGCCAAGTACAATAACTTCAGTTTTGGCCGTGTTTTACATTAAAAAGTTTAAGGTCATCCACGTTTTTAAGTCCTTGAGGCAGTCTTGAATTGTATTTAGATGTTTGGTTTCATTAGGCTTAATGGATAAATATAGTTGAGTATCATCCGCATAACAATGAAAGTTTACAGAATGATTCCTTATAATATTGCCTAACGGAAGCATATATAATGTGAACAAAATAGGTCCAAGCACCGAGCCCTGTGGCACTCCATGGCTAACTTTGGTTTGCATGGAAGATTCATCGTTGACACGCACAAACTGAGAGCGTTCAGATAGATAGGACCTAAACCAGCCTAAAGCAGTTCCCTGTATGCCAACTAAGTGCTCTAGTCTTTGCAATAGGATATCATTGTCGATAGTATAAAATGCAGCACTGAGATCGAGCAAGACAAGAATAGAGACACGTCCCTTGTCTGAGGCTATTAGAATGTCATTTGTGACTTTAACCAGAGCTGTCTCTGTGCTATGATGTGTTCTAAAGCCAGACTGAAAATCTTCAAATAAATCATTGTTTTTTAAGTAATCACACAGCTGTTTTGCGACTGCTTTCTTAACCCTTCTCTTGCGTTTCGGGTCAAAAGTGACCGAATGACTTATTTGAATCATAAATATTGTGTTTTTCATCCAATTGCCTCAATACCTTGTGTTATCCTCCACACTAGGCCTCTGAACATATACACTTGATGATCACCACTTGCATTGAATTTTGGGTGATTTATTCAACAGTGAAACACCCTTGACGTTTTCAGTCAGATTTGACCGCCATAGAAAATGAATGGGTATGAGTGTATTATGTTCATCCTGCAGATGGAAAACATCTACACACACACACACACACACACACACACACACACACACACACACACACACACACACACACACACACACACACACACACACACACACACATACAAATGTTACGGGAACCTCTCCCTTTCTCGCGCTGTATGATACAATGTATCATACCTTCTCACAGGTGCAAGCTCTGTGCCCCTCGAGAAACACAAACCTCTCACTTTCTCGCGCTAAATGCGCCTCCCTTACTGGCTCTCAAGCAGTTATATTTGTGCCTTGCTCACATTTGACTCATTGACACAATGAGCAGGCGACCGATCAGGCGATTTTCTGTACGAGGGGCTCTGGACACATTTTTTAACCAGATGAAGAGGAGATTGAACCAGACGAAGAGGACATAGAGGAAGATGTCTCAGAAATGGAAGACAACAGCGATCCAGACTATGAGCCTACAACAGACCAGGAAGAGGCACCTGAGGGAGAGGCCCCTGAGGGAGAGGAGCCTGAGGTGACATTCCACAATTTTGCATAGCCAACTATGTGCGTGAACACACACATGTTCTGTTATGGTATATTTCTCTTTCAATAAATGTTCATTGAAGAAAACAGTATCAGTGTCTTATTTTATATTCATCACAGTGAATGCTGAACTTGATGGGCCCACCGGTGAGTCCGGACCATGACATGAAACACTGGCTTGCTTGTATCAAATCAATACATCCCATACATCATTGGAACGGGAAAAATCTCAGCTACAACACTAACTAAATCATTTCCATCTCCAGTAAACACAGCCTACATGGCAAGCATTTTTATAATATACAGTAATGTAAAATAAGCACTATCTTTGAACTGACTGCCAAAAATAATGTGAAATTCACCCCTGGTGTCATTCTGTCTGTCATCCCTTGATTCGACTGTTCGAATGAGATGTCAACCATCAAAATTGGATAAGGGGTTCCAGAGATATCACTGTGCAAAACACAACGGTCAATTTTGACCGAAAATAGCATGGGAAGGGGGGTATGACCTAACGCAAGAGAAGGGTTAAGAATGTTCGAGAGGAACGGAAGATTAGAAATAGGTTGCAGCGCATCTGTAGCACTATTAACAACAAGATCAATTTGGGGTGGTTTACATTTTTTATAAGTTTCCTCCCTTACATGCAGACAAGCTATCAAGTTAAGTATTGATGGAATCTCTTCCTTAAATGTGGCTATAGCCTTAATGGATAGATTTCTGCTACAGGAACTTTTGACTAACGGTTTGTAATCTATTAACAGTACTTCAAAAGTTACTATTTTTTTCAGATAAAGCAGGATTATGCGGTTCGACTAATAGTTGCTCAATTTCAATACCATAAGTCAGAACAAGGTCGAGAGTGTGATTATAGCAGTGGGTTGGTTTATTTACACTCTGACAAAAACCAACAGAATCTAATATAGAGTTAAATGCAACAGTAAGGCTATTTTTATCGTCGTCAACATGAATATTAAAGTCACCTACGATAATTACTTTATCTGTTTTAAGAACCAAAGTTGATCAAAACTCAGAGAATTCAGATAAGAATTCTGAATAAGGACCTGGTGCACGGTACACTGTAACAAATAAGATTGGCTGCAAAGTTTTCCATGTCGGATGCGTAAGACTAAAAACAAGGCTTTCAAAGGAGGTATGATTTAATTTTGGTTTAGTATTGATGAGTAAACTTGAGTCAAAGATTGCTGCAACTCCACCTCCTCGGCCTGTGCCTAGGGCAATATGAGTATTGATATGGCTGGGTGGAGTGGCCTCATTTATGCTGACATATTCTTCATGTCTCAACCACGTTTCAGTGAGACAGCATATATCAAAATTATAATCTGATATTAAATCATTTACCAATATTGCTTTAGATGCTAGGGATCTTATATTTAAGAGACCACATTTAATCTTCCTGTTTTGTTGCACTGTAGTAGTTGTTACATTTACTTTGATTAGATTATTATGTATGACAACTAGTTTTACTTTGAATTGTCCTTGGGCAGACACACACACCGTTAGTATTGGGTATTTTATTGGGTTTGGGATTCCTATGGATGACTGCCCAGGAGAAAGCGCAGAGAAGTGTGTAAGACTGCGACTCCGCCTCCTGGTCTCAACTCCAGTTTGTCATGGATTAAGTCCACAAAGCCCTGAAATGTTTGCCGAAATGAGATTTGCACCTTCCAAAGTAGGATGAATGCCGTCTCTCTTAATCAGACCAGGTTTTCCCCAGAAGGCTGTCCAATTCTTTACGAAGCCCACATTGTTTGCTGGGCACCACCAAGACAACCAGCGCTGAAAGGATGACATGCGGCTATACATGTCGTCATTGATCAGATTGGGGAGGGGACCAGAGAAGATTACGGTGTCCGACATTGTTTTTGCATAACTACACACCGACTCCACATTATGTTTGGTGCATTCTGATTGGCGTAAACGAACATCATTACCACCGACGTGAATAACAATCCTACTGTATTTACGTTTATTCTTAGCCAGCAGTTTAAGATGCGCCTCAACGTCGCCCGCTCTGGCCCCCGGAATGCTTTTGACTGTGTAGGCTTTGGTCTCTAATTTCACGTATCTCATAATAGAGCTACCAATAACCAGAGTTGGCTTCTCAGCGGGTGTCTCGCTGAGTGGGGAAAATGTGTTAGATACGTGAACGGGTTGGTGGGGACCTGTGGGTTTTGCATAATGCCTCTTCTGAACAGTCACCCAGTCTCCTGGCTGCTCGGGAGTTGCCGGGGGACGGCTAATAGGAGCTACCTCTTGCCGGTCTAAGATGCGGAACCGTGCTTCTATGTCTATGATTCCCACCTCCAACCTAACAACTATACTACATGTAATACATGTATCGGTACTAGTAAAGGAGGAAGGGAAGTAACCAAACATGAGACAGGTAGAGCAGGAAATAGCACCCGAGGGTGGGGAAAGAGCCATGGCTAGCTATCAAGCTAAAGTAGCTACCGTTAGCAAACCTGAAAGGAGTGTAAGCAACTGTGGAGTTACAGTCGCTAAGAGAAGGAGAGTTGTGAGAGCTAAAGATGTAGTAACGTGTGATTACAACGTCAGGTAGCTGCCGTGATCAAGAATTTTAAAACGATCGATTTAAGATAATATAAGCTATCAGCAGCAGAACAGGCACAAAGGATACCCGGAGATGACAACAACAACCGGAAGTGACAACACGCTTACCGCAATAGTGAGGGTCCCATTGGCCAATAGATGAACTGCAGTTTGTGGCACTTCCTTTTGGGCTTCACGGCTCTGCCCCGGAGATTGCCGCTTGGTTTGCATCTTGCAAATTATATTGCACTGGAGGAGCCTGTGACTTCAGTTTTCATTACCATATCAACACTGTAGCTGCTGAGCACATGATGATAAAGCCGTGAATATTGAATCTTGAAACCTGTAGCTCAATGCTCTCAAGACAGTGAGATGGTTGTGGACTTCAGGAAGAACGCAGCCCCACCCGCCCCCATCACTCTGTGTGACTCCCCAGTCACTTCTGTGGAGTCTTTCCTCTTCCAGTGACTTTTATCCACCCCATAATAACCTTACATTAATGCACATCAACAACACCTTGTTCTTTTTAACATTGTAAACCCTGCACATGCTGCTCATCTCTTCTGCACACTAACTCTTTTAAATCAGCACAGTTCTCCACTTTAAATAAAGTGTATAGTATTTGTCACATTTAAATATTGTTAATTGGTTTTAATAGTTTTAAAATAGTTTTGTTTTACATAGCTGTTATAATCCTATTTGTATTTTATTTTTGTTTTGCTAAGATGCTTCTTTCTGTGTCTTTTTATGCACCACATATAATGCACCACTAAAGCAAATTCCTCGTATGTGTAAACCTACTTGGTAAATATAACCGATTCTGATGAATATGTGTTTCCTGTTTCCTGCAGACGTCCAGCAGCTGGTGGTGGTTAAAGAAGAGGTTCCCCCTGAGCAGCAGGAGTGGATCTCCAGTCTGGACCGGGAGGACCCAGAGCCCCCCCCACACATTAAAGAGGAACAGGAGGAACTCTGGAGCAGTCAGGAGGGAGAGCAGCTTCAAGGGCTGGAGGAGACTGATATCACCAAGTTCACATTCACTCCTGTCCCTGTGAAGAGTGAAGATGAAGAAGAGAAACCTCAGTCCTCTCAGCTTCATCAAAGACAAACTGAACTCCTGGAAACAGAAGCTGATGGAGAGGACTGTGGAGGACCAGAACCAGCCAGGAACTCAGATCCAGAGAGACATTTACAACCAGAGACTGAGGACAACTCTGGAGACACTTCTGAACCTGACACTGAAGACAGGGCTGATTGGAAGAAGACCAGAGAACCAGGTTCAAAGTCTCAGAAAAATAAACAAGAAACTGTCAGTGATTCAAGACGTAGTGCAGGAGAGAAACCATTCATCTGCTCAGTCTGTAAGAAAGCTTTTACACAGAGAGCACATTTAAAGGAGCACATGAAAATCCACACAGGAGAGAAACCATTCAGCTGCTCAGTCTGTGAGAATACATTTGCACGGAAAGGATATTTAAATCTGCACATGAGAAGCCACACAGGAGAGAAACCATTCAGCTGTTCAGTCTGTAAGAAATCTTTTGCAGTGAGAGGAAGTTTAAAGGACCACATGAGAATACACACAGGAGAGAAACCGTTCAGTTGCTTAGTCTGTGATACATCTTTTAAACGGAGAGACAGTTTAAAGGGCCACATGAGGATACACACAGGAGAGAAACCATTCAGCTGCAGTATTTGTGACAAAAAGTTCGCCTGGAGTCAAAAGGTCAAAAGACATAAGTGCATTGGTCGTCAGTCCTCACAGCTTCATCAAACTCAAACTGAGGAGAACCGAGAGGCAGAGCCTCCAGCCAGCAGCTCAGCTGAACACATGGAAACAGAAGCTGATGGAGAGGACTGTGGGGGACCAGAACCAGCCAGGAACTCAGATCCAGAGAGACATTTACAACCAGAGACTGAGGACAACCCTGGAGACTCTTCTGAACCTCGGATTGAAGACAGGGCTGATTGGAAGAAGACCAGAGAACCAGGTTCAAACTCTCAGAGAAATAAACAAGACCCTGTCAGTGATTCAAGACGTAGTGCAGGAGAGAAACCATTCAGCTTCTCAGTCTGTAAGAAATACTTTTTGCTCCCAATGCTGACCTTTTTCTAAAATGTTTCAGAAAATCTCTAAATTCTGGCCTTTGCAGAAAACCTCAGAATTTGGACTTTTTCTTAAAATCAATACATTTTGACCTATTTTCTCAAAATTCAGCTTTTAGAAAAAGCTGAATTTTGGGGAAAATAATTTGGAGAAAAATGTATTATGAGATATGGAGAAAAAAGTCAGTTTTGATTTTAAGAAAAAGTCAAAACTCTGAGGTTTTCTGCCAATGCCAGTATGAGAGATTTTCAGAAACATTTTACATTTTAGAAAAAGGTCAGCATTTGGAGAAAAAAGTCATTATTCTGAGTTTTCCAGAAAAAAAGTCAGAAATCTGAGAAACAAAGTCAGGATGTTGAGATTTTCTTAAAAATTCAGCATCTTAGAAAAAAGTCAGAATTTGGAGAATTATTATTGTAGGGATTCTATATATTGTCGAGAGGGAGATAAGGCACTTGAGACCCAACGATGCAGACGAGCTGAAGGCCGCTAGTGAAGCAATCTGTGCTTCCATCACACCTCAGCAGTGCCACAGACTGATAGTCTCCATGCAACATTGATGCAGTTATTCATGCTAAAGGAGGTCCAACCAAGTACTGACAGCAGGAACATTAATATACTTGTCAGAAGGCCAGCACTTCTATATAAACAAAGTGGGCGGAACTTAGCAAAACCATAGGCAAGCATTTAAAATAAGGATTGGATAAAGGCTGCAAAGTTAATAATTGTTAATTATAGTTAGATTTTAAATTCTAATACTCTACAGTTTCTCTGAATATGTGTTTCCTGTTTCCTGCAGACGTCCAGCAGCTGGTGGTGGTTAAAGAAGAGGTTCCCCCTGAGCAGCAGGAGTGGAGCTCCAGTCTGAACCAGGAGGACCCAGAGCCCCCCCCACACATTAAAGAGGAACAGGAGGAACTCTGGAGCAGTCAGGAGGGAGAGCAGCTTCAAGCGCTGGAGGAGGCTGATATCATCAAGTTCACATTCACTCCTGTCCCTGTGAAGAGTGAAGATGATGAAGAGAAACCTCAGTCCTCTCAGCTTCATCAAAGACAAACTGAACACCTGGAAACAGAAGCTGATGGAGAGGACTGTGGAGGACCGGAACTAGCCAGGAACTCAGATCCAGAGAGACATTTACAACCAGAGACTGAGGACAACCCTGGAGACTCTTCTGAACCTGACACTGAAGACAGTGCTGATTGGAAGGAGACCAGAGAACCAGGTTCAAACTCTCAGAGAAATAAACAAAACTCTGTCAATGATTCAAGACGTAGTGCAGGAGGGAAACTATTCAGCTGCTCCGTCTGTAAGAAATCTTTTAAACACGAACGACATTTAAAGCAACACATGAAAATCCACACAGGACAGAAACCATTCAGCTGCTCAGTCTGTAATAAATCTTTTAAACACAGTGGAACTTTAAAGCAGCACTTGAGAAACCACACAGGAGAGAAACTTTTTATCTGCTCAATTTGTAAGAAATCTTTTGCAGTGAGAGGACATTTAAAGGGCCACATGAGAATACACACGGGAGAGAAACCATTCAGCTGCAGTATTTGTGACAAAAGATTCACCTGGAGTCATCATGTCAAAAGACATAAGTGTGTTGGTCGTCAGTCCTCACAGCTTCATCAAACTCAAACTGAGGAGAACAGAGAGGCAGAGCCTCCAGCCAGCAGCTCAGCTGAATACCTGGAAACAGAAGCTGGTGGAGAGGACTGTGGAGGACCAGAACCAGCCAGGAACTCAGATCCAGAGAGACATTTACAACCAGAGACTGAGGACAACCCTGGAAACTCTTCATGAACCTGACACTGAAGACAGGGCTGATTGGAAGGAGACCAGAGAACCAGGTTCAAACTCTCATTGAAATAAACAAGACCCTGTCAGTGATTCAAGACGTAGTGCAGGAGAGAAACCATTCAGCTTCTCAGTCTGTAAGAAATAATTTTTACTCTAAATGCTGACCTTTTTCTAAAGTACAAAATGTTTCAGAAAATCTCTCAATTCTGGCCTTTGCAGAAAACCTCAACATTTTGACATTTTCTTAAAATCAATACATGCTGACGTATTTTCTCAAAATTCAGACACATTTCCTCAAAACTCCACCTTTTGAAAAAGTCAGCATTTTGGGAAAAAGTTAGAATTTTGAGAAAACATGTAATGAGATATGGAGAGAAAAGTCAGTTTTGATTAAAAAAAAAAGTCAAAACTCTGAGGTTTTCTGCAAAAGCTAGAATTTAGAAATGTTCTGAAAATGGTTTCGTTTTATAAAAAGGTCAGCATTTGGAGAATTATTATTGTACAGATTCTATGTATTGTCGAGAGGAAGGTGAGGCACACGAGACCCAACAATGCAGAAGAGCTGAAGGCCGCTAGTGAAGCAACCTGGGCTTCCATCACACCTCAGCAGTGCCACAGACTGATAGTCTCCATGCCACACCGCATTGATGCAGTTATTCATGCTAAAGTAGTCCAACCAAGTACTGAATGCATACACATGAACACACTTGTCAGAAGGCCAGCACTTCTATATAAACATAGTGGGCGGAACTTAGCAAAACCATCGGCAAGCATTTAAAAATAAGGAATAGATAAGGGCTGCAAAGTTAATGAATTGTTAATTATGGTTAGATTTTAAATTCTAATATTCTACAGTTTCTCTGAATATCTGTTTCCTGTTTCCTGCAGACGTCCAGCAGCTGGTGGTGGTTAAAGAAGAGGTTCCCCCTGAGCAGCAGGAGTGGAGCTCCAGTCTGGACCAGGAGGACCCAGAGCACCCCCCACACATTAAAGAGGAACAGGAGGAACGATGGAGCAGTCAGGAGGGAGAGCAGCTTCAAGGGCTGGAGGAGGCTGATATAACCAAGTTCACATTCACTCCTGTCCCTGTGAAGAGTGAAGATGATGACGAGAAACCTCAGTCCTCTCAGCTTCATCAAAGACAAACTGAACACCTGGAAACAGAAGCTGGTGGAGAGGACTCTGGAGGACCAGAACCAGCCAGGAACTCAGATCCAGAGAGACATTTACAACCAGAGACTGAGGACAACCCTGGAGGCTCTTCTGAACCTGACACTGAAGACAGGGCTGATTGGAAGGAGACCAGAGAACCAGGTTCAAACTCTCAGAGAAATAAACAAGACCCTGTCATCGATTCAAGACGTAGTGCAGGAGAGAAACCATTCAGCTGCTCAGTCTGTAATCGATCTTGTAAACGGAGAGGACATTTACATGATCACATGAGAATCCACACAGGAGAGAAACCATTCAGCTGCTTAGTCTGTAATAAATCTTTTACACAGAGAGGACATTTAAAGAAACACATGAGAATCCACACAGGAGAGAAACCATTCAGCTGCAGTGTTTGTGATAAAAGATTCACCCTGAGTAGTCATGTCGAAAGACATAGGTGTTTTGGTCGTCAGTCCCCACAGCTTCATCAAACTCAGACTGAGGAGAACAGAGAGGCAGAGCCTCCAGCCAGCAGCTCAGCTGAACACATGGAAACAGAAGCTGATGGAGAGGACTGTGGAGGACCAGAACCAGCCAGGAACTCAGATCCAGAGAGACATTTACAACCAGAGACTGAGGACAACCCTGGAGACTCTTCTGAACCTGACACTGAAGACAAGGATGATTGTTAGGTTTAAATTATTTGGGTAAGTCCCAGTATGTCATATATACTGCGATAACTTGACTGTTTGTGATAAAAAATGTTTGGTCCAAGTAAAGAGAGGACTGTGGAGGACCAGAACCGGCAACATTTACAACCAGAGACCGAGGAGGTTTCCATATTGGGTTATATATTCAAACGAAAGTTAGTATAATGAAATATACATTTTTAGAATCCACAATTTAAAATGCATGATATGTCACAAAGCTCTATACTTATATACTAAATGTACACGGAGGTGTGTGGCGTAGTGGATAGAGCGTTGGTGTTCGGATCAAGGGAGCACAGGTTTCAAAACCCACTGCAGTCAGCATGTCGTTGTGTCCCTGGGCAAGACACTTCATCCTAAATTGCTCCTGTGGGGATTGCCCACAGTATTGAGTATGTAAGTCGCTTTGGATAAAAGCGTCTAACAAGTAACATGTAATGTAATGTTTGGTAAACTGACATGAAAGAGTGTAAGGTCTGATATAGTTGATCACTAAAGGTGTCATTATTCAGCAGAGGGAAGACACCCTTACTCTCACAGCAGAAGGCCCCTGACTCACACCCGGAAGCAATGACTCTTCTCCACATACATGTGTCTGTTGGTGTGTATTCACTTCTGCTTCTGTTGGTATGATATAAAAGCAGCAGCTGAGAGAGGAAAACAGGTCTTACGGCCCGTCCACACAGCAGCTTTTGGCGATTTGTCTCGCGTCTCCGCCCATTGACTTTGAATGGGGATGACGTCACTTTCCCTCGCTTGTCGCCGAACTGCATTGTGGGGGGGCGAGGCGAAGATTTCCAGGATTTCCAGGATGTTCAGGATTCCAAAGTTGAACAATGTTCAACTTTTGAGGCTGAGCTGGAAGCGACAGCCAATCAGATCCGTTTATGCAAATCTGACAGTTCAAGCGCTAGCCAATCAAACCGCGTGCAAGCTGGGAGAACCAGACCCGCAGTTCCTTTCTATATTCCACAAAAATGGAGGAGAACTTAGTTATTGCGGTAGCAAATCACCCGGTTCTTTATGACCAGTCCCTATTTACTTACCGGGATACAAACCGGAGGAACCAGGCATGGAGGGAGGTGGCAGAGGCAGTGGGTGAAACTGGTAGGTTTTCGCTTATTTGGGGATTTTATATCCAGTTTACTTCGTTGCTAGTTTACTTCGTTGCTAGCAAGCATTGACAGTATCATTAGCCAGCATGGAATGTAGCATAAAATAGCACCATAAACATTAATCTCATAAATGTTCAAAATGTTAAAAAAATAAATGTTCATCATAGCCCTTCCTATTTGACAATAGTGTAGAAGAACCGGGTTTTTTTAATTTGTATGTCGGGGGCGGGATATTCATGTGATATTCATGTGATTGGTTGTTGGTCGCGAAATCCCCAAGCTGTCAGACACGCCCAGCTCCAGGATTTTCAAGATTTGGTCAAAGCTGCTGTGTGGACACACCGTTAGGGTTCTTAACTGGGAATCTCTCCCCAGACGTTATTTACCCGCTGTCATCATGAGGAAATGCCTCTGAAGATATGCAGGGTTTGTTAACAAAAAGGCAAACGTGTAAACCGGTAAATTAAGAGTAAAACATTGTATAACTAACACATTGTAACCAGATCAAATAAAAAATGGTGTTAGAGCGTGGACCATCTCTTCAAATAAAACCATCCCACCCATTTGGACTTGGGTAACCTAAATGAATTCTGCGCTGTCCTCTCCTGATTTAGGGTAAGATTGCACGACTGCCACACTCACACTTAGGTAGGGTCACACCTCATTACAGATACTAGAATCCTACGGGATCGCTGCAGCAAGATGTTGGAGATCTTCTACCAGTCTGTTGTTGGAGATCTTCTACCAGTCTGTTGTTGGAGATTTTCTACCAGTCTGTTGTTGGAGATCTTCTACCAGTCTGTTGTTGGAGATCTTCTACCAGTCTGTTGTTGGAGATCATCTACCAGTCTGTTGATGGAGATCTTCTACCAGTCTGTTGTTGGAGATCATCTACCAGTCTGTTGTTGGAGATCTTCTACCAGTCTGTTGTTGGAGATCTTCTACCAGTCTGTTGTTGGAGATCTTCTACCAGTCTGTTGTTGGAGATCTTCTACCAGTCTGTTGTTGGAGATCATCTACCAGTCTGTTGTTGGAGATCTTCTACCAGTCTGTTGATGGAGATCTTCTACCAGTCTGTTGATGGAGATCTTCTACCAGTCTATTGTTGCCACTCTTCTTTGATGTGGCTTCTCTTCGGATAACTGGACTTAAACTCACAACGTAAAATATATATTTTTAAACGTATATCTTAATTGTCCCAATATACATGGCATTAACATGCTCTTTACAAACAACATAATAATCATGCAACAAAAGGCCAGCAAGGCAATCACAAAAAAAAACTAGGGATATGTCTTCATGTTATTATAGTCTTGAAAATACATCTGTTAGCTATTGTTCCAGTCAAATGTCTTTGTTTTGAGTCCAATGTTCCCACTTTTTGTTGAGTTGTGTTTCTTGTAATCTCAATTTATGAATCATTTTTTCCATCAAAAATATTTCTTCCATGATTGTTACCCATTGGTTTTTCGTTGGTGGTGCTGCCTTACCCCAATTTCCTAGTGAAAGCTTTCTTGCTGGATATTAGCAGGATTTGGATCAACTATCTGTCACTTGCAATAATCTCCAGGACATTTACATAAATAGAGTACCAAACTACTTTTAGAAACATTATACCCTATTATTTGACATATCTCCTTACATATCATTCCCCAAAACACAATTACAGTTTTTTTCAGTTGCTAACAAACTAAAATCTCACATGGAGCACAATGATTTAATCTCACCCTCAAAGAGCAAAACCTCACCTCAAATCTCCCAAACTCTAAACACATTTTCAGCTCTGCACCAAATGTGCAATTCAACTTGGCACTTTTTGCAAAACACTGCACACGGTTCTCTAAGTAAGACACAGAAATCTGATATATTCACTTGATTGCCATTTTCAAAACACTGCCATTAGAAATGCTACACACATGAACCAATCAACAAATACAAATGCCTTATGACCATAAACACCAAAACTGCTTTACTGTTGACTCAGCAATCAGGATGTAAACACTAGAAAAAGGCTTCATGTAAGAACTTTCTAGAACAACAACAGATATATGGACAGCAACTAGAGGAAGAGGCAGAGGGAGGATGAGAGAGAGAGGATGTCAGGGAGACTGTGGCTCAGTGGATAGAGTGCTGGACTTCGAATCAGGGGGTAGCAAGTAGGGCTGTACCCGAATATCCGAATATTCGTTCGTTGGAGTACTATTCGGGTTTCAATTTCGTTATTCGGATATTCGTTTTGTTTGTTTTTTCCCTGTTTTTTTTCTTCTTCAAATTCAATTGATTGAAATCTCCAATATCAACGTAAGAGCTTGTGCCTCTTCGGGGGGTGCTAACAATTAACCATAAACGTTATCGTTTACTTTCTCCGTCTTTATATGTAGATATTACTTTTCTCCGTTATTCTTCGGCCCCCCGCGGGCCGAATATTTGCTGCTGATTACTACTGAATATCCGGAGCCCGAAAAATTGTATTCGGGACAGCCCTAGTAGCAAGTGTGAGTCCCAATGCAGTCAGCATGTCGTTGTGTCCCTGGGCAAGACACTTCACCCCAAATTGCTCCTGTGGGGATTGTCCACAGTACTGAACAAATGACAAATGACATGTAATGTAATGAGGGAGAGAGGGAGGATGAGAGAGATACTGTGTGTCACGTGTCATGATACAACCATTCAGCAAACAAATCAATCATATTTTTATTCGGTAAATAATTAAGTAGGTATAACTTGATTTGTACAGACACTCAATTTTCAATCCCCACCAAAATAATAATAAGACAAATAAAAAATGGGATGATTGGAGGCCTCTCACCCATAGGGGGAGCTTGGACAGCCCGGTCGTTAATCCAGGATTGGATGGACATGGTCAGAAACAACACTCAGGTAGGCTGTGGCTTTTAAATGATGATCAATTGGTATTAAGCGTCCCAAAGGATGCCAAAAATATCCCCCCCACCGTTACACCACCCCC